TGTGATATCTCCTGTCACAATTAGTATCAGCGTTACAATTATACGAACAGCTCAGACATTCAAGTGGTCTCGGTGCTTGATTCTAAGCGTGGTCATCATTCTAGTAGACCCGTTGTATCCCGCGGCAAATAGTTCCACGACAAAGCAGTCGCAGCTACAGACTGTGTTGCTTAGACGACTCGAAGGAAAGAGAAGATGGAATGAGGCCACCGAGGCCGTTCGTGGACTGCAGTTCGCACCGGGGCGGCAGATCATGTTCCAGCCAGCGTAACTGATCTGGCTCCAGCAGGCGAGGAAGGTTGGTTCCACATGTGGGAACCATAGACGCTGAGCAGCCAATGAATGACGTGACCGACTGTATCTTCACCGGCCAGCGACGTGATGTTCCCATAGGTTGTGTACAGTCTGCCAACTCTGCTGCCGCAAATTAGGGAGATGACGTCCACCCGTGTACGTGAGTTCGGGGAACTTGACTGGGAAGTTTCAAACCTATCAACTAGGTAAGAAAACGGACGGGTATGATAAGGTACATGTCGGTTGAACGCGCCCAAGAGTTTGTCTAGCCCCTTCCAGTATGTAAAGATCGCCTTCGGTTATACCAAACTTGCCGTCCGCAGGGAAGTTTATTTAAATAAAAGTTACGATTCATTCAATTACTAATATTATTTAATCTATCTCCAGTCTCTACCATTTTGAATTACCTCTCGAACACGTTTCGAAAACCAACTCCTTTCGAGTTCCATTGTGCGCGCCTTACCGTTGCATAGGCAGTAGGCACAGTGGAAGCTTGAAGAAGAGTCATTTCTTCGGGTACGTCCCAAAGAAGATAATTAGGCGCAACAACCTCCGTTGACAAGCAGCCTCCCATCTTCATTCCCATCACACGGCGACCGTTTGTGAGGCGTCCCGAGAATTCGAATCCAATAATAGAGTCCTGTTAATTAAAAGACAAAATATAACATTAACCGATTATTAATAGAAAGTAACATAACATTATTTTTCAAAGAAAATAATACTATTTTATTCAAGTAAACACTCTTCCAAGGTTATCTTCCCAGACATCAAACACTTAACTCTGAAAGTTTTTAAAGAATTATACTGCTGTTGGCCAAATCATAGTTACCCTTGTAAAATGGTGACTCGCCAACCACAGAACTGCGATTACATACGTTTTTGCCTTTCAAACAAAACATTTAATTCATACTAATTTCAACTAATAATTGCAGATTATTTTTAATGTATGTAAAGCACAACATTACCTAAAGGACAGTGTTTAAGTTTCCTCAATTTTTCTTTCTTCTAATTCTTGAACTAAAACATAACTTTTAGAAACCAATTACAGAAGATAAGAAATGTATCCTATATGCAAATGGTCGCCCCAGATAACATGCTAAAAGTTCCTCTAAACTAAATGACATATGAGTAGTTACACTATAACTTTATTATAAAAATGTTTGAAAGCTATATTAGCCCCCGTCCTACCAACACCTCTCTATAGCTGAAAACTGTTTTTTATTTTAATTCTTTGCGTCAACTAAACTGTATTTTATCTGATTGAAAAATATTACAAATAAGAAAATAATTAACAGGATCAGAAAACTTTTTTTGATATTGTATCAGCGCCAAATTCAAGCGAAAAACATTTTTTTTAAATTCTGTGTTGTAGAATCCAGAACAGGTCCGAAAAAATATCAAAAGTTCCTCTCAGGACACAAATTGTTATGGATACTTTGCAAATGTTTTCGACTCCTGTGCTGAAGTTAAAATCATTTTTATAAAACTGTTTTACCATTTCTCACATTTAAATCCCTTGAATTTAAATATACTTTGAAAATGTCTGCAATAGTTGTGTGCATTTCTTTTTATATTACCGTATACATACGTATATACGTAGTATAAGGAAAGTTATGTAATGCTGCGCGAAAAAAACGCTAGATTTTTTGACACAAAAAATTCATTTCTGGGTCTTGATAACGAACAAGTGGATAAATGCGCGTTGAAGCCAGAATTCCTGTTTCGTGACTCCTTGATAACAAAAACCAATTGACGGCAAAACGTCCGTCCGTCTGAAACACCACTAACGCTTAAACTGTACGAACGAGTTTTTCCAAAATGGATATTTCCCGGTCGATCTGACACCACTGGAGGCTTGGAATTTTTGCGGCGTCTTCCTCAACTACAAAATTGAAGACAGTGATTTTTCCTTCAAATATAAATTGTTCTCCATAGAATTTCTTTCATTCTTTCATTAAGGTCAAGTACTTTTTTAAACATTTTAGTAGTTTTCGCGCAATATTGCGAGTAATATGTGCAATTTTAAAACATAGATACACTAGATTTTCTCAAAAACGGTTCCAAATTCTTGCGGGTACCACTTTTGTTGAAAAATTTGGAGCTGTTTATGAAAAAAATATCATTTGAACGTTTCTAAAAATGCGCAATTTCGACTTCATTTACACAGAAAACTTTTTTGTTAACTGCAATGGAAATAATTTAAAGACCTTCTACTTGCAAATGCAATACTGTATAGAAGACGTTCATAATGTAAATATTACTGAAGGAGTTTATATTTAAAAAAATTGCATTTGTGTGATTTTGACATATTCAAAATAAATAAAAATGGAGTTAACATGTTATCCAGTGCATTTATCACTGGACAATAAATTTAAACCTAAAATGTGAAGCCGTTTTTGAGACAATGTTCGAGCGTTTCTGAAAATACGGGTGAGAAAGTAAGCGCTGTTGTAGCACCACTAGTATCTAAAATTACCCGGTCGATACAGCCCGGCTGAAAACTCTGCGATACTAAAAACATTCTTTAATTTTTTACGACGTATCAAGCCTCTGGACATTTACAATTTTTTTTTCAAAAATGACACCAATTTTTTTCTTTAAATTTCTTCAAAGAATAGAGTGTAATTCTCTTGTCAATGTCCTTTTCGTTAAGAAGGAAAGTTGTTAATAAAACGTGTTAATATTGACGTGTGTATGATAACGTGTTAATAATATTTATACATTTTTTAACGTTGTTAAGAAATTATAAATGTAGCTTGTAATGTACTTTCAGAATATCAAACAAAAATAACAAGGCAATTGATGTTGGAAACAAATTTTTCAATAAATTTTAATAAAGGTTATTCAGTAACATAGAGATATGTTCTTTGAACAATTCACACCACCTTAAAAACATTTGAATTTCCTTGGCAGATAGCTTTTTGCTTTTCTTGATAATCTCAAAAATATTAGAAAAGGGTTTTACTCTTGAGAAAGTAAGTAAAGTTTTTGATGCGAAAATATAGGATCGGCACGTACAACCCTACTCATTGAAATATAATTTATTAATTCCTGGATTTGGAATGAGGAACAGAGTAGTAAAAGTATTGGATTATTTTCTACGTTCCTGCGTATATCAAGAAAAGCAATTCCGAGACAAAAAATAATAAAACTAATATTTTCACCTTTGAGTAATACATACTATTTGTTACCAGTAGAAACAATTCTATAGGCTTACACTTCATTTCAGTACATGGGAATGTTGCTTAAACCTTATTTGAATATATTAGCGAACTGACACCTTAAGTTTAATATCAAATGGTGTATTATTTACATTGTGAGTTTACAGCTGGGCATTGAATGTACAGACTTCCAGATACCGCTAATTTTTAAATCATGCGTCCGTGCGAGAACTCTGGTACATCAAACTCCACATTCTTCGTTATTCGATTTATATTCTAAGAGGGGAAGTTGACAAAACGTATTTAGGTTGATCCGGAGTTTAGGGTGGCATCGGTTCCTTTGGTTCACTGATTCGGTTCGCTATTTCTCGTGATTCTCAAGATTATAGTTGCACGGTTCACTTCAATCACTAGAGAATAATTTTGCTGGCATTGATTAATTTTCTTAAGTCAAAGCATAAATATATACACAATTTGACTACGCCATATAAAACTATACATTTTGCTATCACGAAACATTTTTTTCTTCATGACACATTTTAAATTTCAATTACACCTGAAATTTCATTTCAAACACTTTCAAAGCACAAAATAAGATTTTAGCTTGCTGGTTGAAATGGATTACAAATACAGACTTGATTTACTACTTAAACAGTCTCCTAATAACACATTTAGTTGTTACTATGACGACTAAATTATTTACTTCATAAATCGATGAAGTATAATATTCTAAAGAATTTGTTGGCGAGTATTTGAGTGTTTTTTCCCATTTCAAGTTGTCTTTTATTAGTTTTGTATGTCTACCGAGATGGAAGGTATGAATTCAGGACTTATGTATGATTTGCGCCGGGAGGGAAGTTTGAATGTTAACCAGTGGTGTTAGAAAGTAAATTTGCTTGCGATAGAACAGATGGTTATGAGTGGATTTGTAGAGTCAGAGGCGAGAATGGTCATTGCGTGAAAATGTCAGTGCAAAAGGATTCTTCGTTTGAGAGGAGCCTTATTAACTTACTGAACTTTAGTTCATAAAAAGTGAAGTGTGTGTATTTTTTCAAACGTAAGCAGATTTGGTGATACGTAGATGAAGTTTTGAAGTTTTTCGTGTTAGAAGGATGTTCTACGTAATAAGTGCAGAGACGTTACACTAGTTGTATTACCATAGCATTTTTAAAGTGCTATAATTTTAGCGATTATGTGAGTTGTTTTCTTTTTTCTAATCAAGTACTGCTATCTTTAACATATAGTATTTGTTTAAAAAAAATGGTTGATCCGGAGTTGAGAGTGGCACCGGTTCCTTTGGTTCACTGATTCGGTTCACTAATCTCGTGATTCGCAAGGTTATAGTTTCGCGGTTCACTTCAATAACTGGAGAAAAATTTTGATGGCATTGATTCAAAGCATAAATATGTACACAATTGAATTATGTCACTATGCCAAATAAAGTTATACAATTTTCCAATTACGAAACATTTTTTCTTTATAACGATACATTTGAAATTTCAATTCACAACACACTTTTAAATCACAAAATTAAGACTTTAGCTAGCTTGTTGAAATAGACTTGATTTACTAATAAAACAGCCTCCTAATAACACATTTAGTTGTTACTATGACTACAAAATTATTTACTTCATAATTTTATGAATATTCAAATTGCGAAGCATTTTGGGGCGTGGAAAAAATGGGACTTGTTTCCATTTGTAGTATATTATTACATCTAACACGTTGTTCAATGTGAATTCACGTTTTGGTTTACGGCAAAATGTCTACAGGTGTCCAGAAGTTCCCGTTACAAAAAATTCCCCAGATTCTGTTTTGACGTTCATGAAGAATGGCAGGTCCAGGTTTTCCGAATAAAATTGTCTTCCATAAAACTGAATTTAAAAGTTACTATCGTGCGCGAAATTCAAACCTGTTGCCACGACAGCTGACACCGGTGCTACGTCTGCCATCGGGGCTTGGCGAAGCGTCGTTTCCTTCCTTTTTGGTGAAACTGTCGAGTGGGAAATCGCTTGCCGCGCACTAGGGTATTTTAACGGCACCAAGTGTTTTATGGGTACTATTCATTTAATATATTAAATCTACTAACATTATTTTTTTCTGTTGTAACCACGGTATTCAGCGGCGTAACACTGAACGCTGAATATGAAACAAGCCTTAAAGAAATTAACAAAATTCCAAGAATGGCCGAATAATTTGTTGCATATCTTCAGTGTGAACTTGTGTCGAGCTTTAGAGAGTCAATACAATTATAATAAATGTCCCCTGCAGTTTCTTTCCTTAATTTCATGACACATGCTAACTGAAGTTTTCAGCCAAAATGTTGTCATTCCCCGATCACTCTGGCCGAATTCGAGGCCCTGGTAATTTGAATTTTTTCTTGTTCTGTGAGTCAACATGAAGCTGTAACAACTTAACCATTTTCTGCCTAAGGGCTCCAAATTAATTGATTAAATGTTTCTCGGAAACAACACAAAATGCATAAAAATGGTGCAGATCCCATTGTTGTTAAAATATGTGAGTTTTCCAAATCTGCAAAATTCCAATTTTTTTCACACACAATATTGAACATAAGGGTTGTTTCTTTATTGAAATATGTTCTTCAAAAATATTTTTGCATGTACAATTTTAAGAAATGAGTATTTTTGCGTAATTTAGCAAGTATAGGAAGATTTAAACGCAAAATGTTCACAAAAACTGCTCCAACATTTTTTATGGATTAGAGCATGGTACGATTATAAAATTCGCACAAGTCGTCTTTTCGGTGAACTGTCTTCATTTAAAAACAATTGCAAAAAATTAACATGGCCAAGCTACAAGGTACAATAAAGCTTTATCCATAACGATAGATAATTAAAAGCTCACCGGATCGTCACACACAGCAATCTCTGTGTCCAGTTTGCCGGAAGCCATCATAACATCACGGAAGTTCAACGCGGCGTAGCTGACGTGCACTAGGGAGTGGCCTGGGGCTAGCAGCGGCCTGCAGGCATAGGTCACAAAAGCAGTGTCGATAGAACTGTCTCGCAGGGAGCTATTAACCGTGTGATGGATGAAGACCTACCTATCGGGGTCGATGCGGCCTTGGAACCAGCCTATGCTAGAGAGGTCCCCGCGCACGGCCGTTTCGCAGAAAGCGTGTCGCACGGGCACGG